CATTGGATAGCGAAACTGTTGTCCAATTGACGAAAGAGAAGGAATATATTGAAGAGCAAGAAGAGATCGATGAAAACTTCGAATACAAAAATGTAGTCCCTGCAAAGTGTTCACCTTTTGCAATGTCTGATGTCAAACTTTCTAATTTAGAGGTTAGATTTACAACCGACTTTGCAACAACAGCTTTTGCCCGTCTCAATTTAAACGACACATACACGAAATACCCGGTGTTTGTTGATATTTTCGCCGGGAAAAGACTATTCGCCACAATGAACGATGTTTCTGAAAAGCTCAATGATACTGCCCACTTTTTCTTCTCGCCTGCACTGATTAACATCTATGATCTGGAAGAATTCGATTTGGAAGACATGCTGCACTATCTGGCATACTCTGGCAGTGCCGTTGGTTTTATGGATCTTCTAGATAGCTCTACAAAAGTTGTTAGAGATTTGATTTTGAGGTTTATCGCATCCCATGAACCGATCTTGCAGCAATGGATCTATTTTGCAAGCAAATTTAAAAAGTCATCGTCATTGAGGCTATTGAAGCTTATAAAGTCGCAGCTTAAAGATAGCACCAAGTCCAATTTAAAAAATGTTTCTATAAAAGCCAAAATTTGTGCAAGAAAGCTATTTCTCATCAGGGTATGTGCAAAGGATCCCAAAAAACCTTTGGGTCTGGATCAGTTTGATTTGAACTTGCTTCCAAAGTATGTCAAAACTTCTCAGAAGATGCCCATAAATTACATCTTGCCCTTTCTCATCAAATTGACTGCTTTATTTGGAATCTTTTTTATTTTCTTTGTGGCATGTCTTTTCTACTTTCATGATCGGAGCATATCTACGAGGCTGTCATTAAGAAGCTGGGGTTAGGGTTAAAATTGGGACTGGTGGACTGGGATTAAAATTTTACGTGATTTCAAAACATTAAATTACATGGAGTCCGTGTTTTATGTATTGAAGTCCAAACTACGCAATCCAACCCTATGGTTCTGGCCGTACTCGTTTGTTTAGCTTCTTTGTTTTTGAGCACTTCATGCACGATTCTTTCAATTTCTTTTGGCGCCAGAAACATCAGAGCTGCGTTTCTTCACCAAAAGACACAGCAACCTGTTGTGCTGACCAATGAGCTTTCATCCAGGGCATTCCAATCCGGAATATTCTTTAACCAAAGCATAGCCCTATTTGACACATTTGCCACTGAAAAGGTTGATTGGAAATGCCATTTTTGTAGGTACATAGGCTTCCCAGAAATGTTCTTTTTGCGTTGAAGATGCTGATGGGAAATTCCCAGGCTCCGCTGTTGCATTCATGGGCGAAAAGGTTGTACCCATGGCAAATCCCAATAAAGTCCCTCACTAGACCCTACGGGTTCTCTTTCAATATTTCCGGGCTGATGAGTTTGGAAGAGCTAGTTTCTCTCCAGCTCGATCATATCAAGCAACGCGCTGAAAACGAAATCGGCAACCAAATATCCAATGTCATTCTGGTGGTAAGTTTGGAAACACTAAGGGCTTAGTTACCGAGCGCAGAATTTGGTCCTCTTGCAAGAGAAACCCTTCTTGACGCTGCAAATATGGCTCGGTTTAATGTGGTTGCAGGTGTGGAGGAACATGAAATGGCTGCAAAATATTTGCTTTCTGATACGATCGAGCTGGAG